GGGAAATACCTAATCCCACAATTTCCAGTAACAGTTAAAGATCAATGCCATGAGTTTTTCCACTGACAGACATCCTGAGGGAGTTCTGTTTTGCACAACTTCTGAAAAGAGCTGAATGCACAGAAAAGAGATGTAAATCTTTCTCTTTAAAATTGTTTTTTGAAAATCTGCTTTTTAACAGAGTTCCTGAGTAAACAGCAGGAGAACAAGCTAAGGCCTCAACCATATCTCAAGGGCAGAGTCACATCTCCTAAAATAATTCCATCTCCAAGGAAAGGTGGGAAAAGCAACTCTTGGACTTTGAAATCCTATCACCATTTTTGCTATCAACTGGCAGCCATCACTATCTTTTTTTCTCTTCCTCCCCCTTATAATCAGCAAGCCACTTGTCCTCAGGGCTGGCACCTCCCTTCTTTTTCTTTGGGATGAAACACCATCTCCCTGCTCTCTTCCCTGCCCACCCCCCTTTCCCTTCTCTCCTTCTCTCACTTTCTCTCTCTCCTCCAAGGAGATAAACTTTTTTTTCTTTTATATATCCTAATCTGTGTGTGAGAAACTTTTCTCCACCCACGCCATGAGCACCCACTAGGCCTTCCACCCTAACAGACAAGAGATTCCTGCAGCTGAGATCCCTCTGTTTTCCTCAAAGTCTCTCTTCAGGGGCATTTGCTACCACTTTACATTAGAGTACATTATACATGCATAAGAAAGCTTGCTTCTTTTTTAATGCAATTTGATTTCCTAAAAGGTTTTTCCAAATCATGACATTTCATCAGTCATGTGCATGTACTCTCTAAAGATCTTGCCAGGCTCCAGTATTGTGTGCTCTAAGTGTGTGTCAATACATTTACAGAAGCTCTGTGAAATTTAAAAAGACTCTCTTCAAAAAGACACTGTGTACTTCCCAAAAGATACTTTACGAATATAGTACTTTACAGATTGCAGTGAGGTTTCAGAGCAATTGACTCACCACCCGCATCATATTCTTACAACCAAACTAAATGACAAAGTAACAAGCAAAGAAGGCATAGAGCTAACATTATCATAGCTTTAAATAAACAGTTCATGAAGCAATTTTCCTTAAGTGTGGTGCTACACACGTCAAAGTATGAATGATGACAGCATAACAAGAAGACTGTCGGGCCTCTGTAAGAGTAGTTCCTGAAGGAAAGTGTGACGAACTGGTAGCAGGTGGAATAAATTATATTCCTACCCTGGTCAACCCATAAGCCTATACTGAATCAGGATGGTCTGCCAGTTCAGGTATGACTCTAGTTAAAATAACAGTCTCATAAAACTTCTTGTCAAATACACTGTCTTTGTGGGATGGAAACAGAATTTCTCCCTTCAACAGAATAAAATCCCTCCATTTATGCTAGTCTTCCATGGGTTTATAAAGACAGAAAATCCCAAAATACTTTGCTACTTTAGAATAACCTTGGTTCAGCTAACTCATTTCTCCCAGCAATGCAGCAAAACAGTCATCTTCACCTTATGTTATTTAAGTTCTAATTAATAACAGGATTTCAATTTCCAGCTACCTGACATTCAATGACTTGATTGAGCATTTATTTCCTGCCAGCAGCTCCCATTTTTCTGATAAGAGAGCCATATAAAACAGATAAGTCTAAAAATAGCATTGTGTCTACTAACGCTTTGCCCTGTATCTTTTAAATCACTCTTGTATAAGGTATTTTATCTTCCATTTTAAATCCTTCATTCTAGAAGACCTATAGCTTAACTTCTCTTGAAATGCGATTCTGGTTTTAAGACACATAAAAAAGTGTCTGGCATTCTCTGCCACTATTACAGCCTCTGCACCCTCTCTCTGGCCTCACATTTTAGCTTCTCCTCCCCAATCTGAAACAATAATTTCCAAAGGTAAGTCACTTCCCAAGGAGCTCAGCCAATGTTTCTGTAAGTGTGTCTTTTGGTTCACCATAATTGGAATCATTTGGTGTCAAAATTCGGGTCCTGAGGCCCCACCCTAAACTTATTAACTTGAAACTTCTGGATGTGTGGCCAGGAATTTTTGACAAACATGGCGATTGATTTGGATGTACCAGAGGTTTGAAGAGCATTGCTCCAGGCAATGTTCCTTAAGCTTTGTGAGAATAGGATAAATACCACACTGCAAACCCTGAGCCCAGGAAAATGCATAGGAGAACTACACTTTGTGCATCCTCTCAGGGAGTTCACAGCAGCCCTGAAGCTTATCAATGGACCCTTGCCCTGGGATGTCTGTACCCAGAATCAGAGTTCCTTTTTTAATAACCTTTTCTTTGAGGCTTCCAGAGAAATCAGTGTGGGAAAACTGAGCACCCACTGTGCTGTGTTCTGTTCTGTTGAGGACAGTCATTGACAATTTTATCTTTTATCTCAACCTCAAAATGAAGTATGTTTTTCTTCTTATTCAATTCACACAAGTATTGTGAAGCTGAAATTGCTTTAAGAGCTTTCAAAGAAAGGCATCATATAAATGCAAATAACAGGAGATTTGATAAAAAGAATAGTCATATCCAAGGGCACAATGGCTGCTCTATCCAAATGAGCAGCTTGAGGTTTCACTGCTATTGTCATTCCAGATATATCAGAGAATAAAGACTATGAAATGAGTCTTCTGGAATTCTTTCTGCTTGAATTGCTGGCATATTTTTCTCATGGTATCATGTAATATGCCACATAGAAAACTGAAAGAAGACATTAGGATTCATAAGTCTGATAGGCTTGCTGCTACCACCCAAAAAGGGTACAGAGGTGATATCATTTTGGGGAAAATGCTCTACAAATTCCTATTCAACCCCAGCAAGGAAACTTGGGGAGCTCTGAAAAGAATATTCAGATTGTCATTCCCTCCCTGTGGCAAAATACATTTTTTTTAACACTTAGTACAAACATCCATCCACACATTATAAAGTCTGGTATTTACCATTTTAATTGCTCAGGTTGGCATGTCTACCATGCTTCCTGCTCCATCAAGTTGGTTTTTGTAACCAGGGCAACAGTGCTGGTGGTCAGTCAGCCTAAGGAGACTTTGGGGAGCTAATTCAATATAAAAATAATAAATAGCAGGATTTTTTTCCTAGACACTCAGCAACCACTCACAGACTTCCTCTGAAATTTTCTCTGACACTATTTATAGTTTACCTTATAGCTGCCCATAGCCCTCCTTCCTTGCTTGCTACTAACTGGAGGAGCATTGGATAAAATGCTAGCAAAGCCAGTGAGTAAGTGGCCAATAGCATTTTGCATAACATCTTTCTAACTCTGTATAAGCTATAAACAAAAACTAGGGAGAGAAATGAAGGACAGGAAAGTAACCTCACCTTCAGAATAGCAACCTCTGCATAGCTTTTTTGCCTGAGCACCAGATGTTAGATCTTCAACAACTGTACAAGACAGAAAAGGAGAAATGGGTAGTCTAACATGCCTGAGACAGTGAGATCTTATCTTTGCTTGATATGCATATTATTCTTTTTGTAATTAGTACCTCTTTAGGTCACAGTATTAATTTTCCTCTTGTTTGAAGAGATGGCAGTTGGAATTGCTTGTTATACTTTTCAGCATACCCATAAAGAGAAACAATCAATCCTCATGGATTTAAATAGAGAAGTTAATCAAATACAAAAGCCAAGACCTAATCCAGAAACTATCAAATGGAAGATAAGAGATAGGGGGAAAAGCCCATGCTTTTGAATAGAGACTTTAGATGCCATAAATTTAAACCAGTATATTACCTCACTTTCTTTCCCCAGCTTCACTGCTGGAGACAGCACAAAATCAGAGAATAGCCTAAAACAGTAAAACAGCGGGCCCAAAACTTGTTGGCACCAGGGACCAGTTTCATGGAAGATAATTTTTCCATGGAAGTGGGGGGCCGAGGGAGTGGAGGAGGCAGAGCTCAGGCAGTGATGGATGGGCGACCGTTTTCCTAACTGGCCACAGACGGGTTACCTGGCAGTAGCCCAGGGGTTAGGGACTGCAGGCCTAAAAGGCAAGATTAGGCCCCAGTTCTAAATGCTTCTCTGCATAGTTAGTGGGCCTTAAGGAGTGAGAATTTAATACTTAAAAATGAAGATCATTTTGTGTCTTTAGCCTCTTTCTGCCACATTAAACAAAACTTCCAAATATTCTAGCACATTTCAAAACCAAAATCTTACAACCACAGCAGGACATGCTGTAAAAAGAAGAAAGCTGAAGATTCCTACTTGAACAACTTTTCTTTCACTTCAGATCACAAACTTTGAACCTACAGAGCTTTCATGATATATCATTCAGTGGAAGGATTCAAGAGCTAAAGAGTTCTAATTTTTAGTCATATGAAATAGAGCTAATATAGACAAGACTAAAAATGTTATCAAAGATCTCCATATTTTTTTTTTTGGTTACATCAATAGAATTCTTCCATCATAATACCAATGAAAATAATACATCTGCATAAGACTGCTGGAGTGAGTGTTAGAACTTTCTTTGAAATTGCTTATTATTGTGTCTTTCACACCTAATATATTCCTGCCACAGATTGGGTATGCTATTTTATGATGAGGACAGAAAAGTCCCACTCATGATAGAACTATTGTATCACTTTCTTTCATGTTCAAAAATGTCTCCAATGTTATTGTCCATGCATGCAAATGAGGCTAGAAAATGAGCAGCAGTTCCTTCTCCACTTGATACATGTAAAGTCCATTTTTCATCAACAACTCTTTGAAGAACCTGCCACTGATTGCAGCTCTGCTTTTCTCATCACAGTCTGATGGATGTTTTTGTTCAAAATAAGCCACCGTTTGCTGATTGCTGCAGGCTGCTTGGTCTGTCAATTGTGAAAATACAGCATTTCCCAGCTAGGCCACATTGCTTATTGTAATCAGAGTCAGATGCAAACATTCATTCCAATGATACCCTAGTTCTGATCTCTATTTGCTCTACTGCAGAGTTCCTTTTGGTTATGAGGTATCCTCAGACCAAAATTGCCACAGGTTAGAGATCAAATTACTCACCCTAATGAAGTTAATTCTTCCTCTCAGAAAATAAGCCTCTCATTTTTCCTAAAAGAAATGCAAAAAAATGGTGAGTTTCCTTTTAAAATATAACTGAATAATAGCTGCCATTTTTGATGAGGAGGCAGGAAACTACAGACTAAAAATTTGCATCCCTGACAACAACTCTGAATGTTATGGGCTTCATATCTGCAATGAAAGGGATGTCGGTTAAAAATATGTTTGTGTATGTCCCACAATGTTGGGAATGAAACAGTTAAACACAAAGGCCCGCAGCTAATAGTACTCCCTAGGTACTGCTGTTAGAAGGGGATAAATCAAATTTAGCAGAGTTTATTTGAGCAAACAAAAAGTCATGAATTGGGCAGCACTGCAACCAGGAGAGGTCCAGAGATCTCCCTCCACCTAGCAATGTGGACAGGCAGTATTTATAGACAGAGAAAGGAAGTGTTTGATAGGAACAGTTTGATTGGCTACAGCTTGGCATTTGTTTTATTTGGGCATGATGTGATCAGGCAATTTGCCATATGTAATTATGATCTGATCAGTTGGCAGCCTTGATTTCCACTAAGGCTTTATATGCCAAAATGACTAAGAAAAAAATTTTTTTTAGGAAAAGACAATAAACCATTTCAGGTTTCTAGCAGTTTCTACAGTTTACCTCACTGAATATGCTTCCAACATTACCCACCTTTGTTTTGTTCTTCAGGATTTTCCTCTTGGAGGACCCACTGAGAGAGTGTAAATTATCTTGGGGTAATCTATCACCACTATGGGCCAAATACTACCAACTATTAGTCCCCCGATAGTTCTCTTTTACAGAGAAGCCAGGGGGTTGGTTATCAATTACCTGTTGTTGCAGCCCAGGTTCTCTGGAAGCAGATGCTGAGATGGAGTTTTGAATGCAAGATGTTATGAAAGATAAACACCTGTGAACAGAAAGGGAGGTAGCAAGGTTTGGCAGAAGTAAAAGTTAAATTGCAATGCATACCCCACAAAGCTGACAGATTTGGAGCAAGTATTATCTAACAGAATATCCCACTTCACGCTGAAATGGACTGATATTTATAGCCCCTCATCTCATGCAATCATCAGTTGTGAGTTGTCTGGAATGGCATAACCTCAGTGGAGGTCGGCCCTAAAGGAGCTGACAGCTTCAGGCCGTCTGCTAACTGCACTCCCCACAGCTGGGCAGCAAGACCTTCCTTGAAGGGGGTTCAAGCAGCACATGTCTAGCCCACCTGCCAGAGAAAGTAACATAAAATCATAAAAGGATTTCAACATTTTCCTGGCTCTGCTGTTCGTGCATTGATTTCTTATCACAAATGGAGCTGACACAAAAATCACTGTATTTCACTCCTCAACTCACATATCACAGAATGGCTGCTTAATTGATAGCAGACTTGAAATGTTATATAAACAACTCAATTAAGATCAGGAAGATTGGAAAGTCAGACTTACTCTATCAGCCTTCTTGGTGTAAAGATCAATGCATATAAATAAGGATTTTGCAATTTAAAAAAAGATTTGAATGCACTCATAATCAATAGCTAGAACCCTAAAGATAAGGACTGTGGAGGAAAATGATGCTTTAGCAGATTTCCAATATTTTCTAAATCTTGCTTTACTAGGAGGCAAACTGTTTTACTACTTATTTTCCAATTTTCAGTTCTACTGAGATGCAATGGATGCTTTCATTTTCTACTTAAAATGTTCAGTGGTAAGCTGAATTTCCCAAATTCTCAGGGTAATCTTGCAATCACCATGTGTGTCCTTCCACAGGGACTGCATCTAAGAAATGCTAGGCACCCTTCTATATTTCACAAAATTACCCAACTCCCACGGAAGCATAACACACCAAAAGGGTTTTACTTTAAAAAAAAATGGTTTTGCTACATAGAAATCAGAATCATTCCTTACTTGACAAATAAAACATAATTTGTTATATTATTAAGTACAACTCCATCACAGTATAAAATATGGAACAAGCTCACTTTGTAATAAATCATTTTGAATTGGGGGGGGAGTGTTTGAGAAACTAGAATAGCAATAGATCAAATCACCTTAACACTATGGATTTCACAAAGACATATTTCAGTTAACTGCCAGCTTCCATTTTAGCCTACCTGTGCAGATGCTCTTATGATAACTGTTAAAAATGTTCCCTGACCAGAGAATTTTACCAGGGGATGTTCCAGAGAATATCCCAGAGGAGGAGAATAGGAAGGATTAAGGAAATGTACAAAAGCATTCAATTCTGTGGAGCTAAGTGTTTAATGAAGAAAAGATCAGAGATGAGAAAAAGGTTTTAAAGGACACCAAATTGACAGGTATGACTCTAGATCAAGGATCAACAAACCATAGATTTGGCCCATGAGCCAAATCCATCCCATCACCTGTTTTGGTAAGTAAAGTTTTATTGGAACACAGCTATTCCCACGTGTTTACATATTATCTATGGCTGCTTTCATGGTACAACAGATAGCAGAATTGAGCAGTTGCAACAGAGATTGTATGGTCCACAAAGCCAAAAGTATTTACTATCTGGCCCTTGACAGAAAAAGTTTGTTGATCCCTGCTGAAGGTAGTGACAAGAGCTTGAGTCACTCAGGGCACAGTTGTGATATAGACTTAAACAGAGAAATAAGCTTCTTTGGGCAAAGAGAGAGCTGAGGCAGATTCTTTAGGACAATCAGTGACCTCTTCTAACTCCCATGTGCCAAAACAGCCAAGCTGTTTGATTATTTAGGTGGCTGTGCAGTGTAGGCCAGAGCAAGACCAAGGCTCAGCTGACTGTAGGAAGGCCTCTTTTTTCTTTTGATAGGGTTACAAGATGGCTCATTTGCTACCTTGTGGAAAGAGCTTTGAAGTAACGCAATGTGAGGTGGATTGTTGTAATTGATTTAAGTATTGTTAAATATAATATAAAAGTGGCACATTCTCCAAATTATAGTCCTCTCTGGCCCTCCCTTGACATGTTATTGGTGACTCTTCCACCTTTACTTTCCCCTTTACATAGTGGTAGCCTCCACGTTTCTCTTTTAAACTTCTCCTAATCTAACCCTCACTCTCTTGGTGGCATTTTCATGGATGTTCTTAGCTTCAGATAACTTCTATAGGCTGACGACCCTATCAATCCATCTCCTAAACCGGAGATCTGCATGTACATTTCTTTTGCAACAACTCTACTCCTCAAAATGCAATACATACGAAAACTCAACTTCTCTTTCCCCCTAAATAAATGTAGTGATGAATTCAGACTGCCTTAGTTAAAATCCTAGCACCACTGCTCCAAAGCTGTGTAACTTTGGGCAGGTTACTTAAATCTCTAAGCCTTGGTTTCTTTGGTGTAAAATGGAGATAATAGTGCCTACTTCAGAGTGTGGTTGTGGGGGTTGAATGAAATAGTGCATGAAAAACACTTAAAACAGTGCCTGACACAACATAATAGCTTAATAATGATTAATATCAGGAGCAGTGAAGTTATTTTTATTTCCAGTATTAGTAAAGAGCACTTCCATTAAATGTCACCTCTTGCCTTGGCTCTCCCCTGAAATTCTGGCCTCTCTATGCTTCCATAGAACCACATAGATCAAGAATTTACCACATGTAAATTGTTTATTTACATGTTGTCTCTCACACAAGTGCATAAGCTCCTTGGTAACAAGTTGTATCTAATTTAACTCTTAATACTGAAAGAATATTGTAGAATGGATAGGGAAAGTGGGCAGGCAGAGAAACTAATCAGAAGGTATTAGACAAGACCTAAAGAGGAACTTTTAAACTACGTCAGTGGGAGTGAAAATGAAAGAGAAGGATTTCAGAGAAATTTAAAAGAATCAATAGAACTTTTCAGTGATTGGGTGTCAATGATGAGAGAAAGTCTTTCATTTTACTGCCAACCAGACATGAGTTTATCCACTCTTAATCAAGTAAGAATATTTGCAATAGAGCAAAAGATGCCATTTTGAGCTAGGATTGGTAAAAAGAATGTGAATTAGATGCTACTTCAGATTTCCTCTCTGCCTGGCTTCCATGTATTACTTCTTACCTAATTTCTTCATCATATTTCTTGTTCCATCAAGTAATGTAACACAATGGTTGAGTGCACAGGCTTTGAAATCAGGCAAACCTGGATTTGTGTTCCAGCTCTTCCTTGAAACTGTGGACCACGGACAAGTGGTTTCCTCACCTTTAAAACATGGGTGATGATTGTATCTACCTTGTTGATTTATGTGAAAATTAAATAGATAATACTTGTAAAGCTTTTGGCATAGCACCTGCCAAATAGTAAATGTTCCATATTAGCTGCTTTTATTTTATAAAAGATAAACAATATAAAGTAGTGAATCTTTAACTTTTAGACCCACCAGTTTAAGAAACTCATATGATAGAGCTATGACTTTTGTATAATACATCATAAAATATCATCATATATCTTATCTGGAATTTTACTTAAAAGTAGATATTGAATATGATGCATATTAAGCCAAAAGATAGACTCTCATCCTATAGCAACTGGTGAGAAGTATAATTTGGGATTGTACTAGAAGAAAAGAAAGTTATTGAACAGAAGTCATTTTACCTCCCTAACTTACTTTCATAATAATAAGAACCTGTACTTTTGTTAAGAATAAATGGTGAATTCCCAATCTAAACTCTGTCATATCACTACTTACATAAATTCCTTTACCTGTCAGTTATGAATTGATCACAAAGCCTTTGATCTCAAGATTCTTATTCAGTACAGAAAAAGCAAAGACATTAAATGTATCTAGTAATCTCATTCAGCTAGAAATAGAAAGTAATTATTGTAAGTAAAGTGTTTTATTACTACAGCTAATTTAGAAATTATTGGTTTACAGTATTTAGTATTTATTTTTGTTAAGCAAACTATAAAATTCAGAAGGCCTTTTAAGCTCCTGATGAAAAGCTTTTCTTATTTACAAAAGTGACTAATTTGACACCAACAGTAGTTGATTCTTAATTTTTTTTTCAATCACATCATTGCCGGTATAATGCCAAAAAAAGAGAAGGATGACTTCTAGAATAAAAGCAACTAAAACATAAGAGGGAGTTCCTAACTCTGCTTATCCTCCAGCCCAATCACTGCTATTGCCAGGGTTCAGACACCCATGAAATTTCCATTGAACAGAATTTAAAAAGACAGAGATAAGTTTTATAAGCAAAATTAAGGAGGTCTGCAGCTAAAAATTTATCTTCATGTAAAAGGATCTTGTGGACATTACAAACATTGCTTTCAAAATCAGAGGGAAGGTTGGTGAAAGGAAACCCATTTCAGTTGGGCTTTAGATCTTCTGTGTAGCTTCAATCAGATCATTTCGTTCTGTACCTCTTCTTCCCCATTTCTAAAGCGATAATTGCCATATCACTATCTTGAAAGTGTGATTTCAAAACTAAATTCTAGGAATTTCTACTGGCCTCATTTTCCCATTTGAAAAAAAAATGATGAAATTATATCAGAAACTCTAAGTTTGCTTTTAGCTTTAAAATACTACAACTCCAATGGGTTGTAAGTTATTTCCATGAAACTGAAAAACATTTTCTCCAGAAGGCCCCTGGCCAAGAACAGCTATGTTATCCACATGGAATAAACACTTAATCATTGACACAAACAGAGAATTAGTATGGATTTCTTTAGCGCCCTAAAGAAATGGAACAACTGACTGGCAAATTTTGATAGCGAAAATGGAAAGGCCAGGACTGCAGAGACCCATGTGGGGAAAGGAGAGGCCTGTAGAAAGGATGCCAAGGTGGTTAAGGTCAAGGGTGCTTTCTTCATGGTAGATGCTCAATGGGGCAGTAAGCTTTCTTGGAATGTAGGAATAAAGATTGCTAGTACACAGAGAAGGGAGACTCCAAAAGGGAAATCTGCCGAACATTAAAGACTACCTCGAAATGTCAGTGT